GGGGGGGGGACAGAGGACAGCGGGTCATTATTGCTTTTTTAGTAGAGGATTTACGGCGCTCGCAACTGCATCAGGTCATATGAGCGCCAGAAGATTAGAGGCGTTACAAGAGAGTAACAAACATAAAAAAAGAAGAAGGGGAGATCAGGACGATAGAAGAAGTAAACCACACCAGAGCACCCGCCAACCACCCAAAGCGGGTGAGTGTCGTCGTCATCGTCATTGTCGTCATCGTCATTGTCATCATCAAAACTTTCAGCCCTTGCAACATAAGTAGGCAATACAAGTGCCGAAGATTATGTGTTAAGCTCAGAAATTTGAACTTTCGTTCTTTAAATCTTATCTCTTTAGTTTTAGTAAATGTTTTACGACACTTTCAACACAATAAGGTCATATAAGTGCTTAAGATTAGAGGTGTTACAAGAGAGGAACAAACACACAAAAAAAGGAGGAGAGATAAGGACGATAGACGTTTGACAAGAAAGAAGGAGCAAATCCCATCAGAGCACCCACCAAAACTTTCTGCAATGGAGAGCTCTTGTGTATTTTCTGAGAAATAGCCTAGCACGCACATAGAGAACGGACACATAGCGAAACACGTACAGTCCATAGCTAACAGATTTGCAGGTCCTGTCGTTTAGGATTTTTTTTTCTGAAACAAGTACATTCTTTGTATTGAAAACACGTACACAGAAAGATTCCTACGTACTGAAAAGTAACATATCTTCCCAAAAAGTAACTTTAAAAAAAGTTACAATTTCAAGCGGAAATTTAACACATGTAGGAAAAAACAAATCAACAAAAGTAATTTCAATCGCAAATAAAGAATATTCTCAGAACAACCCATAACAATTTATACGAGCTCAAACCACAAAAAATGGACACCATCGAATGCATAACAATTCAAGCTCACAACGCAAAGCGGATTTCTTCAAAACAAAATTTAAACAATACAAATTTTTTCAAAAAGAAATAACCCCGCAAAAATTCACGACAAACAGGGTCGAAATGAGAGAAACCGGGCGGGCAACGGTGGTCAAAGAACGCGGGTGGTCAAAGTAATCAAACGGTGTTGACGGTCAAGCGGTGTTGTCGGTGACCCACGTATTTCAGGGCCGGCCGTCTCTTCCAGTGGCGGGTCTGACGTCTGTAGAAGATCTGCAGAAGCTGCTTCTCCAACTTAGGAACCACGTGGCATTTTTGGGTCACCTACAGAGGCAGCCCACCGGGGAGAGGGTGGGGG